CTGAGGGGATGTATGGGTTACTCATCTATCCTTGCCTTGCGGGAACTCTAGTTTTCCTTACTAAATGCCTTATATACACGTGTTTTTCCTGCTACTGGCTGCGAGTCTTGCTGATGCTTCGTAGGCTGAGGGCGTAGTGGGGGGATGATTTCTAGGAACTAGTCAAAGAGGAGGCCTAGGGCAGATATTGAGGAGAGGGGCACCGCACAGGGCAGGCTGCCGAGAATCGTTATTGGGTGAAGTCGAAATGTTGGGGTCAGGAGTTCCAGAACATGCACGTCTCTTAATGGTTGCAAGAGGGCATACTCTGCCCTGAGCCTTTTCTCCGGCAGAGCTTAATTGCGTTCACGCGGAGCTGGGCGAGGAATGGGAATTCCCGAGGGGTTGCCAGCTGCAATTAAATGGAGAGTTCCAAGAGGGGAATAGCAGAATTTGGATGCTGTGTTCAACCTGCTCTTTTTCACGGCCGTAGGGAATCTAGAATCACAGGTATGGGCGCAAGGTTTTAGAGCTCAACGTTGAAGTAGGCTCAGTGTCGGAATCTGATCTTTGGGCAGCAGAATTGCTGCTTGGGCTTCTACGCCTCTATCCACGACCACCGATCACCGTACTGATTCGGCCGCTAAACATCTCACTCAAAATCTCCACAACACCCCCAATCTCCACCACCATCCGCAACATCGCAATCCTAATCACCACAGCCTTACCTACCTCTAAACTTCTCCACCCCTCCCCCCCTCCCCACTTTAGCCGCCCGCTTCTCCTGAGATGACTTCTCCATTACCATTAACGACATCTCTTGCCAAATCCACTTTGTCCACTTCGCAGCGCAAATTTTAGGGTTTGAGCGGGCTCCACATGGCATACATTATCTCACCTGCATTGCCTCTGGAACCCTGTCCTGTTTCCCCTGCTCGCTTGTCAAGAAGTAGTTGCCTTTCATTATTATGATACTTGTGAAATGACCAAGGCACCCATGGTTGCGAGTGTTGAAATTCATGGTGGTTCCCAATGGAAATATGTTACTATAATGATTACTAGGTGGCGGTTTTAGAAACCTAGTTGGAGGTGCATTAGTTTGTTTGGAGATTGTCAGAGATTTGTGAAGGCTGTATTTTTTAGAAGCAAAGCGGAGCCAAAGCGGTTGGAGGGTTTCAGCCATGAGGATAGTGAGACGATGGCTTGTATGAGATTAAGGTTTATGGGAGCTGAGACTTGGGGATGTCACACTATGATTGTTAGGAAACACGGACGAAACCGTATGAGTGTGAGGACTGTCGGAGGTACTGGGTTAGGTGGAAGGCTAGAGGCCTTGACCCAGTTGAATGGGGGAAACGGTATCAGAAGAAGTTGGAAGGCAATGGTTCGGACGAGGTGGAACAAGATCAGAAGCAGAGACCGGTGAAAGTCGAGGCTGTGTATATATAGGACACCACTGGCGACGTAAAAACAATAAGAACCACAATACACTCTCATTCCAACATAGTCTAAATTTCTTAGAGAGTATACTGTATCGCTTTGAAATGCGGACACAACTCTTCACCAAAGTATTCGGAGATAGTGATAGATGCTATCCGAATTACCATACTACACATCTTCCATACCCGCCTTAATCATATCTGGCGCGTCAAGCGGATACCCCACAGGGAGTTTCAACCAACTTCTCTGGAAAGCTGCACTTTGAAGGATTATCGCAACCAGAGGACATCCCAGGAATCAACTACCATCCCCTTCCTGACTGATCCACCCATCCTAGCAATAATGTAATAAGGAAATAGCGAGGAAAAAAGAAATTCGAGAAGTGCATTGCACGGTAATGACTTGTCCCCACGGGTAAAAAAGCTCTGTTTCTTCCAGAAGCCTTCGTTGTACACAGTAGTTTTGCTAACGATTCCCAAATGTACCGTACCCGGATCGTGAGACATGTGGTACAGGTACTAGAAGGGATGGGGGGGAAAGTGTGGAATCATCCACGACACAGCGCCCCGAGTTCAAATATTGAATTAATTGTGATTCTAAACCCCAAAATAGCGTAATTGACTGCCCTCTGCCTGTTGGAAGCAAAAAAAGGTTAGTGCGGGAGGTGCGGGAGTTACACAATTCCCTCCACGGCTTCTAGCGCCAGTACTCCGGAGGGGGAGGACTGGAATCCCCTGGAAATCAGTGAGTGCACAGGGACTGGCAAGATCGATAAGCCAGAGCCCGCAGGACATTACTACCGAGTTGTGTGGATGCCTGGGATCAGGGGGGAGCGGCCAGGCTAGTAGCCAAAATGTGTAAAGCTCCTCTGAGAGTGAGGCTGGGTAATTGGAAATCTGCTCTTGTGGGCTGTGGGTAATGGGCTCTGTGTGGGTTAGTCGTTTATTTAGTCGTATCTATTGGATTTGGTCCCGAGCGGGTTGTGGAGTCGTTTCCGGGGCGTCGATCTCCTGCATGGCTGATGCGGTTAGCTGAGCCCCAGAACAGCCACGTTTAGTTGTCGAGAGCATTATTGTACGAGGCATAAACGATTATTGCTTCCCCGCAAGGGAGCGGTAATTTCTTCGAGTCAGCGAATGGAGTTGCCACTTATGGAGTTGGTACTGTGCAGTACCCGTGAATCTATAGTCCTGTCTGTAAGGTCAAGCACTGGTTCATACACCAATACCCAGTACTCCACCTGCGTATTGTCTCTAACGCCCCCTTCAACCATCCCCACCCATATTTTAGTTCATCAACTTCTGCCCAGAGATATTCCGTAGGCGTTTGGCCCATGTGGCCAGTACGCCCAAAGACCTTTCGCCGGGGGGGGAACGGGGGGGGATACTCCAATAGTGTTCATAAGAGAGGCAGAGGGAATTCCTGAATGGTGCTGGTATAGTATCATCCCAGAGGCATATCTGCCGTATATTTGTTCCCCGGGTTGGCGGCCATTTCCCCTCACAAAAATGTTTTTGCGCTACCGGCGAATTGAGCTCGGTGGGGTTGCCCAAGCCCCCCCGGTATCATGGCCAGAGCTCACGGACTGGGCTCCGGCAAGACTGCCAAGGTCATTTCCATTCGTGGACTATTGAAAGCCTGGCTGGGTGAAGAAACAAGGCGGTGACATTGCTCTGCTAATACCCCCAGTCATATGGTCCGTTCCAGTAAATACAAAGAGACAACCTCAAGCCCCTGAGCCGCAAACATGAGGCGCAACTGCCACCCACATCCCATACCCGATTCTGGTATCGGTCTTGGAGGAGACGCTCGTGCAGCTCCTTCACACATGTATACGGCAAACAAGGGCTCGCCAAAATAGGTCAGAGCCTCATAGGCACAAAAGGATATCTCTGGCATAGGTGGTATAGAGGTGCAATCATGCAGCATTTTGCGAGGTAGCATTATTTCGGAAATTATGAGCGAGGCTAGGTTGACAATAGAGTACCAGATAGAAGGTTGATGTATGAGCCGCAGACCCCATTTTCCTTATGCAGCCGGATACACAGGTCGAGTGTGATATATACATGCTAGTGGCACCTATGACCTCCCAATCTTCAAACTTCTCATAAGCGTCTAACCTGACCACCTTGATTCCAAAAAGTAAGTTATTCGAGTGCAGGTGCCGAACTTACATAACCCGGGAGTTAGCTTCACTCTTTCCCATCCCGCACCAACTCGCCCGCGACTCTGTGATACGGAATCTTTTACATTTTCTTCTCTGACGATTCTAAATTTCGCTCCGGGCAAAACAAAATACCGCGGTGGCGAAAAGATAGCCGAGAGAGGGATAGGTTTTTTAGGAGAGCAGGACGTCAGCCCAAGAGGTAGGATAGATTTCAACGACTTATGTTGGGAACGACGGTCACTAACTATGTACTATAGGCTTCCTGTATTAGAGCTTTCTGTCGGCGGATCCACGAGCAAGACCTTAAACCAAACTCCTGGGGGGTAAACGTTGAAACCGACGCTTGAGCTCAATTACGGAGGTGTTTAGCCAGCAGAAGCCCGGAACCAAGAACCCTTGGATGCTATACCATTGGAAAGGCTCGGCGGCATACCAGCTACGATAGGTATCAACAAAGCCCAGTTCTATCCCAGGCACCGCTAACCCTAACAGCTAGTGATCGATCTCATCTTAGGGCGCCTAAGACTCCCCTACATAATCTACACCAACGGACGGGGCTCAAACATATGTGAGGCACCCAGACAGTACCCCTTCGGCAACCAGCGAAATCCACCAAACCCTAGACATGGTTGCACATTCTACGGGTATTCCCCGACGTAATATGACAGAACTACTAGGCACATGTGGGGTACTGGGTTATCCGAGTGGGGCTTTGGGTCAAGACGCTGGAGCTACGGGGTGGCAGGAAGATCTGCGTGACGTGATGGAAACCAGTGATGTGCTATTTTCCCAAGACAGGCGAAATAGCGTCATAGACATACTTAAGGACCTGCTTGCGGTGGCCGAGCATGCTATGACAGAGCTGGGCCTCTTCCACCCTAACAAAGCGGTTTTATCGGCCAAGTTGGGCAAAATGTTGCAGGGCATATTTGAGGATACAGAAAGTAGGGAAGAGCCCCACGTGGTATCGATGTTGGGGCTCTGGGATGCGGACGAAACGCAAGGGGACACGATCGCCGCTGCGGCTGCCGGGAGTATTATTAGCACAACACTTCAATAGCTGGAGAGCGCACGCAACGTTACTACACTACTGGGCACGGATTTGTTCATGAGATACAAGAATATAGGAGACATTGCCGACCTCAACGAAGCAATTATTCGGATAGGGAAGGCGATGGAAGAATGTCTACCAGACAACCCTGCGCGGATGAATATGCTGTGTAGGTCGAGCGCTATGTTGACCACGAGATTTGAGGTACTGGGTAACATCAATGATCTGGAATTGGCCACAGGCAAGAATCAGGAAATAGTGAGAGGGACGGATTTTGGGGACCGGAATCATATCGATGCGCTTGGAAATTTGGGGGGCATATTTCTAAGAGCATTTGAGCAAACTGGTGACTCTGACGACCAACAAGCGATTAAGAACGGGGAAGAGGCACTAGGTGCTACACCCCAAGCCCACCCCAATAGAGGTGGCATACAGAATACCCTGGGAGGGATGCTCTTCGTGAGATTCGAGCAGTTAAGAGCCCGCAACGACCTCCAAAAAGGGATCGAGCGCAGCGAAAATGCACTAGCCACAGCACCTCCTGACCATTCCGATCTAGCGGCAATTTACAAGAATCTAGAAAACATGTTACGTACGAGGTTTGAGCTGCTAGGGACCAGTGAGGCCATTGACGACCTCCATCATGCGATCAAGCACAGCGAAAAGGCAATAGTCACTATGCCCCCGGATTGTTGCAAATCACCGGTACTTACAAGGACGGCTGGAAGTCCTCGGGTCAAAATATCTCCTTGTTATATCCTTAGCTTATTTGCAGTTTTGTTTCTTTTGTGTTTCATAATGTTAGACGCTAGGGATTGTGGAAAGATCAGCCACCGGCATTGCTCCTCAGCCCTCGCTCTGTTCTCGCCTTAGAATCTGCAGGCAGATGAAGGAACCTTGGGAACCTGAGAAAACCTCGGAACTCGGTAATGGAGTTTCTTCCGGATATGTACGCTGCGTTAGGAAGGCAAGGTATTGGATACCAGGAATGTGATAAAGTTGTGTTGTGTTGTCTTTGGTATAGATAGAACAGTTTTGTATTTTCTCTTTAAGCTACCACAGTGCCGGGGGATTCAGAACATAAGCAGGACTTCAACTACGATACAGAATATACATTCGTTTCTTGCTCTTTAGTATCATACCTCAACTCTGATCAGGACCTCGTAATAATAGGGATTACCCCCACGGAGCGACCGCGGGTGGTAACCAATGGGGCGGATCCCTGGCGAATTTCGTGCGGATAGACGACCTGGATGACCCCCGAAAGCACGGTCCCCACGGGGAAGAGTCTGGAGCTACTACCCCCCAATTGCACCCCCACCGAGCGACCGTGGACGATAGCCGGGGGAACGGGTTCACTGTAACATTTGAACTGGGAGAAGGCCCCAATGACCAACGGAACGGTATTCAACACGGCGAAGAGGAAGAGGCTGCTACGCCATGAGCTCCCGCCAACCGAGCCTGCATGAATTACAACCTAGGCAATATGTACTACACAAGGTTTGAATGGACAAGAGAGAATGGTGACCCCCAAAGAAGCAATTAAGCACGGCGAAGATGCCCTAACCGGTACACCTCAGGATCGCCCCAACCGAGCTTATATCTGCAATAGCCTGGGAACGAGGCTGCTTGCGAGGTTTGAGCAAACGGGCGACCTTGACGACCTCCAGAAAGCCATTAGGTACAGCGAAGAGGCAGTTGCCACTGCGCCTGCAGATCACCCGGCCCTAAATGGCATGCATGATAACCTGGAAGCCATGCTCTCTACCAGGTCCGAGCTGGTGGGAGACCCGCATGACACCCAAAAAGCCTCCCGGATGGGGAAACAGGCCATAGCTACAATGCCTCAAGATCACCTGAGCCCCTACCCGGAGACCATAGACGACAGCCAGGGGGACCCATTCTCAGCAAATTTTGAAACGATAGAGGACATTTATGACCTCTAGAAAGCCTGAAGCGTGGCGACCTGGTACTCCTCACGACCGCCCAGATGCGGAGTTGTTACACACTTTCCGTCGGAACTTGCACCCAAGCTTTGGAACGATATATCTTAGCATGTGTTTTCATTCCCCTGGTGTTGATTTTTTTCCCTACATAATTTTGGATGGCGAGTATACGGGAATGGTGTTGGCTTTTCTTCTTACGACTAGCATCCGTGCGCGAATTATTACAATTTTTGTTACACGGCGTATATTCCTTTCCTAAATCCCCAAGGCGGGTCTCGGCGGCTGGTGGTGGGATGCGGTTTTTAGTCATTAGATAGTTTTGGATGTTTGATGTTCACGGATAAATGTACGATGGTAGGGCAAATGGAAATACTGTGGATTGGTATCTGTCAGCGGGGTGATAAAGTGTGGGACTGGGAGATGTAACCTGGCATGCCCTCCGGAGGAGATCATACCCTCAGCTCTGCCCGCTATATCAGTATGCTCAGTCCCAGTCGCGAAGAAACCGGAGGGCCCTATTACCAGATCTCATCTGCTCAAGAATGTGGGGCCCCTGTACATACAGACCTTCGTACTGTTGGGTAATTCTGATTGTCATGATGGTTGGGAATTGTTGAGCAGATGGTGCGCACTACTAGTCTTACGTCTTGATCTCACCCCAAGTAGATAATCTGTAATAGTTGGGTCTATTCCTACATTGTTTGGCTCATAGTTGGTAAAAGCAGGTGCGACGCAGGAAAAATATAATTATTATGATACTACATAGATTTCCTATTGGATATCTTATATGAGAACGATGGGTTGGGGCATTATTTGCACCAGATTCTATATGAAAAAAACTCGGCATTCCCGGTTCTAGAACCCGAGGAGGTATATGGCGGCTCTATGACATATTGTCTCGGGCGAAGACCTCCCGGTGACTCCTACCACCACCACCGTCGCTGCGGCCCTCTGGTGTGGTATACCTCCATCTACCTATTCGGCCCGTATCTCCGCCTTGTCCTTATCAATTCGCAGTCATTTGGTATCGATGATAGGTATTCGCGGTTGGGGTCAGTTCGGGTATGGGTGTGTATGGAACTCGCAAAAACCCGGTGGCGGTTGAAGGGATTCAAGACCTGTCGTAGCGGAGTCGTTTTCAGAGGCTATGACCGACGTCATGTCTTCAATTGGAAGAAACACCCCTTGACCTTTCTTCCCGTCCTTCTCAGCCCTTCGAGCGCCGATACTCCTGCGGTTCACTGCAGCTTTAGGCTTCCCGTAAGCCAGCTGGGTTCTCACCCCCTACCATCCTATGGCCAGGTGGCTTCCCCTCCCCTCCACCCGTCTTAGAGAGTCTCGAAGGGCATGTAATAGTTGAGGAATATCGCGCGTAGCCGTCACTGATTTTCTCATGTTTCGCATCATGCATGTTCAGGTGTCTCGCTCGCTTTGGCCGAGTATGGCCGAAACGAAATCGGGCGGGAGCCCGGGTATTGGATTTTAGTAGGAAATTCTGGTGATGGTCAGTGAGGCGTGGGTCTGGACGGTAGTGCGGCAGAACAAACTGGGTGGGGGATAGCGATGACGATAGGTTACCGCAGCCAGCGTGCTGGAAAACTTCCGAAGGAGGCTCTTGTATTGGACGGGCTTGGCACCTGGTCCTGGGCTTAGGGGCTCTTACTCTTTGTGTTATCATACACCACTGCAGTTCAAAAGCAAACTGAGCCACTTTCCCTGGGCCAACCCGTTACAAACCCGCAACACAACTTTGGAATCCATTGCGATGATGCGACCACCAAAGTCACCCTTACCGCAGGACCAAGAGAGAGCTTGGCTCGCAAAGCAATGATAATTGGGCTGAGAGCAGAAGGCGAAGTTACCGCTATTACACGTACACTGATTTTTCCTGAGCTATAGGTAGTGGGATGCGCTGCCTCATGTCGCTCTCCCGGAACCTTGTGGGAGCAGGATACTTGCCGCCTGCTCGATCCTTTCACCGACTGGAGACTCTAGCTACTCTCAGGGGTTCTTGAAGTTTTGCGGGGTGGTATGGACAAATGGCGGTGGGAGTTTACTAACATTGCCTCCAATGCTCCCAGCACGCGGGATATCACATCGCGACCACCGTTACCGAACCTGGCGAACTCTGAATATGGTTGTCACGGCTGCGGGACCTCCCCCCTCCTGGCAAATCGGTTGGGTGGGCAATCCAGGATCCCGACATGATACTTGACCGATAATCTAGGATTGCGGAACACACATGGAGTTCGCATCCAAAGTAAGTGGTAGTTTACCCTACGTTCCATGGATTATCGCTTTATACCTGCTGGTGCTTTTATCCCCATCTACCACTGGAAGAGCTTGCAAACCACTCATTAATGCTGGGTGCTGTCGGGGGTGCTAGAAGAGATTTGTGATCTCTTAGTGTGTGCAGAAACATCCCCTCTGCGATAATGCAGCAACTCCGGCAGGCCACTTCCGAGAATCACAGTATCGCAACCGGTAGCTGGTATTATTTATCCCCGGATTATTTCCCACGTTCAACGAAAACAACCCAGCTTCGGCAGACGGCGGTACTAGTAGAGCGACTATTGGAGCAACTAGGAGATATCAACACCCGACCCAAACAACATGGGCGCAGCATAGAACAGAAAAGCTCTCTAGAAGGCCGGGTGTATCGTGGGGACATTACTGGAGTGTGGGATCGATGGGTGCTTGCCCGGGGAGGGATACTTGCGTGTGGATAGATCTGGGAGGAGTGAGCCGGAGAGTTCTGAATTTACTAGAGGGAGGAAACGTTTATTGGCGGGCGGTTTCCTCGCAAATCAATGTAGGAACAGACTGCCTGTATACATAATCTCTCCCCAAGCCAGAGGCGAACAGTTTCAATCAAACATATCTAAATTCCCCAGGGCTCACCAGCATTACCGAGCGTTCCCAAAGTTGCCGCGGTCTCGCGCTCTGACACACTCCTTCCCTACCTTCCCCGGACTTGACTAACTACTTTTATACCCACAATACCCACAATACCCTAATATCCATCCCCTGTTTCCCTAACCTCACCACCCATTTCCTCTCCTCTGATGTTACCAAACTACTCTTCGTAAGCTGTCAGCTGTCCTCTTCACCTTACCGAGTGATAGTCCGTGAGAGACCCGTGCAGGCAACCTAATTTATTAATCCTATGATAAGAGGACCCACCCGACACATAACTAGCTATATAACCGATCACCCGTAAAAGCAAAAGTAGGGTAGAGAAGAGGGCTCTCAGTAAGACGCACGCAATTGATATAATAACCACCAACAAATTGACACTATCTTAGAGATCAGACCCGTATCCACTTTTCTTGGAGCCAATTTAACTTGCCCGGGAGGATATCATACATGCTTCGCCTTACACAACAGAGGCGATCCGAAGTCCCAGACACTCCTTCCCCGACACATCACGGTTGCTGATGCGAGAGGATATAGTACTAGAACGGCGGGGTAAACCCGATTGTGCACATTGTGAGGCGATCGGGGATTAATGGATGGTACGGAGAGTGTAGTCTGTCATAGAAACACCAGTTGAGGAAACTGAGTAAGGATTTTGTACTCGGGGTGGGGGGTAGAAGTTGGAGGTAGGGGACAGGGTTGATAGATCTCATGGCGAGCGACGTTGCGGACAGTCGACATGCTGGGATACCTGCCCAATGTTAATGAATTGAGCACATCACCGGGAAAGGCGATTGGTGGGTCAAGCCAGCTGTGTGCTGCAGGGATCAAGTGCCGGTGGAAAGGGCTAACCACTGTTATGGTCAAGGTCAAATGTCCCCTTGAACAACTGGCTTATGCATACACAACGGCGGCTTCCAATGACACCTAGCCCAACGGGGATCTGATGGCATTGCTGTGGCATTCCCAAGGGGGCTAGAAGGAATTGCTTGATCACTCTGTGATAGTGTTGTATCACCGATGCACCAGTGGTCTATCTTTAAGTCCAATTCGTTGTACCATGATGCATCGCTTCGGCATCGAACTCCAGTCAGTCTTGTGCAATTTGTCCCTACCCTGGGGGGCGCAGTTCGTTGCGTTGCCCAGGCTGTCCTAGATGTTCCTTGGCTAGTTGGTGTTCGATCGTTCACATGAATTGGGCAATGGAAGCGGCCGGGCTGGTGAAAGCTCAAGGCGTGTGGGCGATTACTTCGATTTGGCGTCCAAGGATATCCGGGATGGTAGCAGCCTTAGTAGCAAATATTATTAATCACCGGTGCTTGCTCCGGAGCTCGTCTCCGGAGTTCATTCCGGAGTTCATTCCGTAGTTATTTCTTTCATTCTCTATGAGGTATATCTTGTCGGTCAGGAACTGTATAATGATAGATATGGAATGTGGGGTAGTTAGTTGTCTTAGAGGAGCGGAGAGATGTGCATACCATAGCGGTGAAGGAAGAACCGGAGAAATGACCGCTGAGCAGCGGTAAAGAGGGCGATTGGAGAGAATGTCGAGGAACATCGGTGAAGGCAGCGATGGGACAGAAGACCGGAGGACCGGTAATTAAATATCGGTGAAGAAAAGAAGAGAAGGAGGTATGCGAAGTGGTGGAAACATGCCCGTGTATGTTCAGACTCCTGGAAGAGTTGCTATCAGTACTTTGTACTTAAGGGCTGTGATGACCCACCTTAGTTGTAGTAGCAAGTCGCCAGCCCCTTTATCCCTCTCAAGCCAAAAGTCTTCGTTTCTATCCTGTTCCCTTCTAGAGCAAGTTCTCACAGACACGATCAGATTCCAGCATCGGTTTTTGTTAGCAAATACCAGGTACAACAGGGCATATAGGGGGCGCTGGGGGCGTACGCGGGGCGCGGTTGTCGGTGGTGTTCGGAAACGAACCGTGCTATGGGTATTAGCGGTGGCACTCATGCAGCTCTAGAATATTGCGGCTCGGAATGTTAGGTCCGTTAGGAGCGGGATGCATTCATAGTATCATATTCGAGAGAGGAAATGAAACAGAGGAGGGAGGCTTACATAGGTGCGAATCAACTTTAGGAACTGATAGAGAACCCCGATCCTTACGTTGGAAAACAACTGCGCAGGGAGAGCGGGCTGAGGTGCATATGGCAAACCGGAGATATGATTGGCGGGCCAGACTCACTTGAACGGTACCGCACCAGTCCAAGTTCATCGCCGGTTGGACAGAAACTGCGCACAAGCGGGGTTTGCCTGACTAATCACATCTCGTGTTAGGAACTTCTCATGAGCCCTCAGCTCAGCCTTGTTTATTTCGACACCGTCCAGCGAGTCAGGTGCCGTGCCCTACCCCGACACCCAGAATTGGAGAACGGACTGCTGTGTCGTTGGAGTTGCCGCCTTTGGAAAGACCTGGTGCCCTTTTTTGTTTTTTATGTCAATGGCAGGTGCTGAGGATCTCCGGTTTGACGGTATATCAGCCGCCAGTCCAAGCAAGAGACCAGCGCCTGGCGTCGTATGGCACAAGGTTCCATTGTTCCACTATTTGCGGGATATAGCTAAGCGCACTCTCTATTAAGTACAGCGACTCTAGCTCACACCATATCATGCACTCACATCGAATTCAGCGCAATGCAATCTTTTTTGCTTCACCGACCCCATATCTGACCCCGAGCGAAACAAAACTGATAGAGTGGTGAAAGGTGGCGGTGATAGAAGTGCCTTAGGTTCAACGTGGGAAAGGAATATCGAAGAGGTGAAACCGATTGGGTACGATACTTGGAGAAGGCAAAGAATAGTTCTGAGCAAGCCACTCGCTAACTCTGCACGATTCTGGGGTAGAGGTTTTATATCGCGAAGTTCCAGAGGGACGCCTGGAGCCGAACGACCGAGGGGCGAACATTCTACTCCGGGATACCACTACTGCCGAGCCGCCTACCCTGTAGGAAGCGGAGTTGTGGATAATTGGACATAAGGAGATATACAGAAAGGTAGGTACTCTGCCAACCACCGGAGGTGTTTGCACAGATCCCCCGTCTTGGGATGTTCTAACTCCACCAGTTTGTTATCAAGACCCCAACTCGGCAAGCATTCCTCCCCAGCCACAACATATACAACAAGTGTCGCCCAAAAGCAGGCGAAAAACTCCCGAGCAATGCAGGGCGCATCAGCAATGCAGTATGGAAAAGCCTGGGCACAGATTTCACATTACATGGGCATTTTTGAACATGCGATGGCAGAGAGACTTGGTTCGATGGGTGTGAAGGGTTTTCGGAGTAACACCTCGGGTCAAGATCTTCATGACCTGATGGAAACCAGCGATATTCTGTTCTCACAATATGAGAGAAATAACGATATGGTCATGCTTAATGAGGCAATTGCGCTTGCGGAAAGTGCTATTACAGCAATGACCCCCTCTCACCCTCATCGAGCTGTTTTGTTGGACAAGCGGAGCAGATGCGATCGTTCGGAGGACATAGTACCTGGCGAGATCGCACGGCAGTGGGGAATGCAGGAAACGGACGAGACCCCGCAGGAGATGACCACCTATGCAACCGTATGCAGTAGCATCCTCGATACGTGGGGTCGTTCGGAGCGACTGCACAGCCAGTCCACATCGCTAATCGCTGATTTGTATGGAAGATATGAACGGCTAGGTAACCTGGCAGACCTCAACGAAGCAATTATTCAGATGGAGAGGGCAATCGAAAAATTCCTCCAGGGCAATCCGGTTCGCGTGGATATGCTAAGACGGTTGAGCCTCATGTTCGCAAGATTTAAGAGGCTAGGTGACATGAATGATTTGGAATTGGCTGCAGGCATGAATGAAGAAATAGTCAGAGGGACTTCACCCCGCAATCACAGTCACATCGATGCGCTTGGGGACCTGGGGAGAATGTTTATGAGAAGATTTGAACAAATAGGAGACATAGAGGACCTGCAAAAAGCGATCGGCCCCGGCGAAGAGGCATTAGCGGCGACCCCCCAAGATGATCCCGGTCGAGCGGTCAGACACCTCAACTTGTGAGCAATTTTGTTGACGAGATTTAGGAGGATAGGAGACCTTTGCGACCTGCAGAAATCAATAGAGCAGAGTGAAGCAGCACTAGCTGCTGCGCCTCGGGATTCCCCCTATCTAGCGCATGTACAGAGTAATCCGGGAACAGGGTTCACAAGAAGGTTTGAGCGGATAGGAGAAATTCGGGACCTCGAAAATGCCATTGAGTACAGCCGAGATGCACTAGCTTCGACCCCTCCGGATCACCCCCACCGAACAGGGATGCATAACTACCTAGGAGCCAGTCTCGCTACGAGGTTTCAGCGTATATGGGAGCTCGACGATCTTCAAAATGCCATTAAACATTGCTAGCACGCTCTAGCTGCCACACCTCATGATCACCCTGGTCGAGTCAGCAGACAGACTAACCTGGGGGCCTATTTATCCCTCAAATTTGAGCGTATGGGGGACCTTGATGACCTGGAAAACTCCATTAATCATGGAGAAAATGCACTGGTTGCCACATCTCAAGATGACCCCCAACGAGCACTCCTATATAGCAACCTTGCATCAAGACTCTGTATGAAGTTCGAACGGACTGGAGACCTTGTCAGCCTTCAGAAATCCATCAAATACTCTGAGGAGGCGCTAAATACTACACCTCATGCTCACCCCGGTTGAGCAGTGAGAAAAAGTAGTTTAGGGGGCATGTTGGCCAGAAGGTTTAGGCGGACAGGAGATATAGATGGCTTTCACATAGCCATCAAGCACAGCGAACAGGCTCTGGCTACTACACCTCAGGATCACCCCGGACGACCGACAGTGTTTAATAATCTGGTAGTAGAGTTCTTCCAGAAGTTTCAGGAGTTGGGAGATCTTGAGGATCTCCAGAAAGCTATTACGCACGGAGATCAGGCTCGAGCTGCTACCCCTCAAGACCACCCCAGGCAAGCATCCTCGTGCCTCCACATGGGTCAATGCTTAGAATTAAGATCCAAGATTCTAAACTGCAGTGAGGACATAAACGAAAGCCTTCCACTGTACCAGGAGGCTTGTGATTGTCACACATCACCTCCCAGGGATCGGATCAGCGCAAGCCGCAGAGCAGCTTCCATACTATTTTCAACCGGCCAGTTTCATGAATCGAGTACATTGCTCGAGCGAGCGGTCGGCTTGATGCCAAGTGTAAATCTACGATTATTAAACCGAGACGATCAGCAGCATATACTCTCGGACCTTGAGGGGCTCTCGTCATCGGCTGCGTCTATGGCTCTTTGTGCTGGCAGGGAAGCCTACCACAGCCTTCAGCTTCTAGAGCTCGGTCAAGGAATAATTATGGGATTTACAATCGACTCAAGATCCGAATTTTCGGAACTTGAAATGGACCATCCGCTTGAACTCCGCCAATTCAATCGCCTCCGTGCTGAGATAGACTCGCCAATAGATGGAATAAATGGCGCAAGCTTCGAGCCGCCCGATCAAGCCCAAAATCGTGTTGGATCCAGGCATTGGGATGCGGTAAAGCAGATGGATGTAATTCTGGATCGCATCCGGACGTTCCCCGGATATTGCGGGTTCCTGCTCCCACCACCTCCGGAGGATCTGATGAAACTAGCAGAAATTGGCCCCCTTGTTGTCGTCAACTGCACTCCCTATAGGAGCGACGCCATAATCGTAACCACATCAGGGATAACTTCCTTAGAACTTCGAAAATTAAAATACGAAGAGACAACCCGCTGGATGACTCAATTTGGTGGTTTCGGAGCAGGAGGAAGTTAGATTAAACGACGTCAGGATAACAGGAAAATGAAAGACCTCCTAATTTGGCTATGGGATGCCGCCGTTGGACCCGCTTTTGACGACCTTGAGTGCAGTGGGACCATTATCTGTAATGGTGCTTCTGATACCAATTTGAACCGGATTTGGTGGATTGGAATAGGGCAACCAAGTATGGCCCCTTTCCATGCGGCTGGGGATCACGCGTTAGGATCAACCAGTAACACTTTAAGTCGAGCCATCTCCACCTATATACCAACAATCAAAGCCCTCAGCTATGCACGCCAAACACAGCCACCCCTATCCGGCGGATGTGTTACTCCTTTCTCAGCGAGGCCCTCCCAGGAGGCCCAAATTCCCAAAACACGGAAACCCACCTTACTAATCGTTCCCTTGGCAAAAACACCTGGCGCAGCAGGTCTACCTGGTGTCAGCAGTGAAATTCAATATATACACGATTCGGCCGCCACAAATTCGGTCGAGACTATGGTATTGAGTAACCCAACCCCAGCCGACGTCCTCAAACAAGTTGTGTAACACGGCATTGTTCATTTTGCCTGCCACTGGGTTTCCGATATCAACCCTTCGGACAGCCATCTGGTCCTTCTCACCCTGGATGGCAATGAAGCCGGTAAACTAACGGCTCGAGATATATCGAGTATTGCGGCGAAAAGTGCACAGCTCGCCTATCTTTCGGCCTACTCCTCCGCCCAAAACCCTTCTTCTAAATTGGCAGACGAAGTCATACATCTCGCGAGTGCCTTTCAGCCTGCCGGATTCAGCCATACCCTTGCAAACCTCTGGGAAACTGATGACTAGGCCTCTAGTGAACTTGCGAGAGACTTCTACAACCTGCTTTTCCAACACAAAGGACACGGCGATTGGCACCAACAGATCCCTACAGCCTTTCATCAAGCTGTGAAGAATTGCCGCAAGAAACAACTGGGGAACTTCCTGACTTGGGCCCCTTTCGTGCATACAGGAGCTTAAACTATCAGGTTTTGTAACTGTTTCTACAAATTATTTACTTCCCCTCGTTTTTCATTAAACCGATGTTGCACCGAAATAAACCTGTCTTCTTTACTTTTTCAATACTGGCTGATGCTCCCCTTCGTGTTGGCGCACCTCGCCCACTCCTTGCTCTGGGCCCCTCCACCCACCGGTCATTATTGCACGAAGTGGTCTCTTTTTACACCTACGTCGCCTTCCTGTTTTGTTATTCACAGCGGGGTTTATTTATTCGGGCTACACTTTAGCCTCTGTCGGCAGGGCTGGCATTTGGCTAGGTGATTCCTACAAGAATCTCATCTTATGTGTTCCGTTGGCCGATGTCCTTGACGAATATATTTTATCGTAAATGTCTTCATTAGTTTGTGGTATCCGTTTCTTTCTTCTCCTATATAATTTCAACCGGCAAGTGGATAGGAATGGCATTCCTTTGTGTAATTGATTATAAGTTACTTATCATATGATACTTCTCTCCTATTGCCGCTATACCAATAGAATGACGCCGTCCACCAATGCGAGTGATAATTATATTCCCATATGAACTGCAATCTAGTCATCGCGGCAAATAAAGGAACTTCCCGATTCACTGCTCGAAAGAGAATACGTCCCCGATGCTTGGAAGCAATACCGGTAACATTACATACCCGTGATTGTCCTGCATGGTATGATACACCGTAGGAAATTTGCCCACCAGACAAACAAAGCCATAAACCATGAACTGCTTAGCTAGCCCCCCCAAAATCCCTATTACTTACACCGCCCCACCCCAAAAATACCTCCCTGGCTAGAAACACTTCCTCGGCCATCTGGTTTGATATCCCTCCCACTTTTCAGACAGTTGTTTTTTTGCTGACTACTGGAAGCTCGGCTGGCTGTCTGGTCCCCGTTATTGGCCTCAACAGAACCCAGCGTCCCCCGTTCGCATCCGGTCCTATCCGTGAGACCCTAGATCCAACAGTAGATTTTCCGCAGGACTCCAGATCCCGGTGTGATATGATACGGATATACCGAGAATATTCTCCAATCCGCTCCGGAATTATTTCTCCCCCCCGGCCAAAAGAAAGAGGAAAAAAAAAAATCAACGGTAGAATCTAGAATTGAGCTAGAAGTCGTATGGGAAAAAAATTCGTTTCGGTCTGATTCATCTAGGGAGAGGGAAATCAACCTCTCGACGGAGTTATGGTGCGGCGCCAATCTTTGGTGTTATTACTCGGGAGGGTTCTCGGATACCGGTAGCGGGCGGTGGGGGCGGCAAATTTGGCGACGTTCAGTGAATATGCGCATGACTGCGATCCTGCTTGGGGAACCTTACGTCCGCTGAACGAGGTGTAGCGGTGTGGGAGTTCTATTATACATAAAATATTTGAATGCTCTGTTATGCTCGATAGGGTTCTTATCCCCTAAAAATTTACTGTTTGGGGATGTCTTCGCAGGCTGGATTCTCGGTATATAGTCTGGCTCCTCCCCTTCTTGGTTAGAGATGAGAGATACCAATTGATACTGTTTTCCGTCTATCCATATTGGGCCCTGCGTCATCACCTTTTTACCTCTTGGCTATCGGCCATATTTCACGAACGTCAATCTCCAATTATTTTTACTCCTCTTGTCCTACGGTTTACAAGGCGGTTCTTCAGCAAACCCAGCAACCCGTAATCCACAAATGCAGTCGGTTGGAAACACCATCCAGTCCTGGAAGTTAACAGAGATACTCCCACACTGGTATAAAGTGCCTCCCACTAGGTCAATGATTCCCCCAACCGAGTCTAATAGGGGGAGCAGAGTTCACCGGATAGTACCCGGTGAGTATTGCTTTCGGCCCCCCCGCCCCTCGCACCCGGATCGGTGCCATTCTTCCCATCTTTCAACGTAGAAACAAGCGAAGGAAATTTGCCCTTTTGTCGCGGGGTACTTGGCATATTTTGAATCTTTGTCTTTGGCTACTACTGTAATAGGCGCTGTCCTCGCTCAACAGCACCCCCCTCTAAGGCATATTTATAGTGATTACGGCTGTCCAGAAGCTCTGCAATACCTTATTACCTACACTAAGTCCCCGGAAAAAGGTTCAGGAAGAATTATGTATCATAACCAGTTAACCGATACCACGAGAGACTGCTCTCCCTTTCCTCTCTTCTTCCCCGCCAGCTCTGTTCAAGATAAGTATTAAATGTACAATGCTGAGTTAGGGCGGGCACAGGTGTTAAACAAGGTTGAGTTGCTGGAAGTAAAAAAACGGGTGGTAGGCAAGTTGACGATTCTTGTATATGCCTTTTCAATAGGCGTCATAAACACAGGGGCATAGGAGGATCGGATGGGTTCGTGCTCATGGGTTCGTGATCCGGATCGTGACGTCTCCTATCAAGCCATCCATCGACAGGCACGTGCCGGTGCAGGTGAGTAGCATGAAGGGAAAGAAGAAAAGGAAAAGGGGTTAGTTACCCTCACGATCTCATTTTCTGAAAATTTTAGCGGCCCCGTTTGCCTTTCCCGCCCACCAACACCCGAGGGAATAGCTAACACCAAAGACTCTATGGAAAGCTTAAAGGCCCGTTTGGCAGACCATGTCTTGAGATGGCCGCCAGCTCTGCACACGGTTTTTCCTGACAAGCGGTGTTGCTAAATTAGCGGTAGGATATGATCCAAGGTGCAAAAACATGTTAAATATTATATTAAGCGAAATTCTGGGAGGGATAACCGGTACAACAGGTATGTAGAACACACGGTCTGCCAAACACCCCCTGACTGACTCAGGCCAGGCTGCGCACACGACGGCATGCACGAAACGCGGAAAACACATTTTTCTGTCATAGGGAATATGATAGCACGGGAAACGGTGAGGTTGCCGAGGTGCTCTGGCCCATTCCGAATAGCCCAAAGCTCACCAGTGCTCACATCGCTTCACGGAAGAAGAGATATCTGCATGCTCTCTCCGTTTGTTTGAAGGGTGCATGATGCCCTATCGCCCTGTAGAATTTGTTTTGTTAGTGAGTTACCAACAGGCATTCAGGCTTTGAGTTTGGCTGGGGTGTTCCTCTTTCGGTGATCCAGTCTCAGAGGTCGCTCACTATACTTGTGCGGAATGCTTTCAGAGGTCACCCGACCGTGGGGCCTGGTCGTAATTTACGATACCACACCGTTAAAAATCTTGAAATCTATAATCAGATTATCAATCGGTAACTGCTGGCCCGCCCATGATGGGCTTTATTGACGGGTTAATGAAATTGTGGATACGGGTTAACATCCAGCGCGCTGATCTCGTCCCGTGTCATGAATACACTCATCCTTCTCCGCCGCTTTGATACCTAGAATCTGGAGATTACGGTTCTGGGGGAGGGAGTCGGTTTCAAGTGTTGATGGTATTGCAGTTGACTTCTGCAGCCTCACACGAACATAGGTCCCCAGGTTTTCCCGAGACCGGAACCGGACAATTGGCTTGCGGCTAATCGGTAAGCTAGAGTGAGGTGCTTATAATAGTAGTCAGGGCAATGCAGAGAGCCAGTACCACGGCGGGGCCTGGCGGTTAGCCATTTGCGGTGGCATTGTGTGGCTCGGGTTTAGGTGGGACTCCACAGTGGCCGAAAACGGTGATAATGACTAACACTATCACTTCACCGTCACATCGGAAGTGCAAATAGTCATACCAATCACGGGGGTGGGAAATTCGCTACTCCCATAGGTAGTTTTTATTCCCTAATAAAACAACAGCTCTGGAATGCTGGAGCAATAAATCCGGGAAAAGGGCAAAGAAATGCAAGGGGGATTTCCCCAAATCCCAAACAGGAATATCAAACGACATCTCTGTAACCCTACCTCTGGCCATGCTTACCCTCTACAATAATCTTCTCAAGGCTCTTGTAGAACCAATCTCCAGCTAGATCCCCAATCTTAACACAGACCAAGCTGGGATGGGCTTTCATAATCTTCATTTGCTCGGCCTCCTCCTTGAGGGTATCATCGGTAACCCATCTAGTGAAGCTCTTGACGTTTTCGGCCTGCAACGGGATGCCCATTTCCACCATGTACTCGATACCTTGCTCAAGTCTACGCTGTCCAACGGCATAATTCACAAAGTCATCCACGACGCTATTGGGTTCTCGGGTCATGGGTACGGCCGGGGGGCACGGGGGGCGTAGGCAGTGGCCAAAAAGATATCGGATTTAGTCTTGAAGCCAAGCACTCTAGAGCGGTGATGGCGGATGGGAACGAGCATGGTCCAGACGATACCCTCACCGGTGCCACTCCCGCCTAGGGCTTTCGCGACCGGACACTCATTAGCGACCTCCTTGGTGTATTCCATCATCTGGCGTTCGGCGGCGGTAGTATCGGCGTTCAAATTGATGGTTACCTTGAAAGTTTTGTAGTTCATGATGTTGAAAATGCGATACTCGGGAAGGGCGACGCCGGAGAGACGACCCATGTCGAGCCAGAGGTCATCAACACATATATTGAACACCATAAAGAATCTCTCCAATCTGGAAATGCCAACTCCCTTGTGGACCTCTTGGCCGGCAAATTCTCCAGCGATAATCAGAGTCTTAAACTTGGCCTTCCCGGCCCCGAAAACGGACTGCGCTAGTCTATCAAGGGGAACGCCAGCAAGGAATTCGGCTACACCGTTTTTATCACCAGTCCCAGCCCCCGAATCCAAGACTGTTGCGTGATTGAATAGTCACGTCGGCAAGGTTCTTGTGGTCACGAAAGACTAAGGTGGCATTGGCCCCGTGGATTTTAACGGTTCCACGAAAATCGGCCCTGGCAGGGAGAGCGAGCTTGGGGCCCCGGGTTCTAAGCTCGGCCGAACGGATCTTACGAGCCTCCATCCTGAAACCAGGGAATTGCCAGGTGCTCGGATACTTGATAAACGCTGGGGAGTTCGATGCAGCTTTGTCGTGGTTTGCCATAGCTAGCCAAAGGTTAAAAAAACAACTCACGCTATTTTTAACGATGGAGAATGAGAGGAGAATTTAACCGGGCCTTGTAGTGTGAGGGGCCGCGGGGTAAAGTATAATGTAGCGTGCCAAGAAAACAAAAAACCGGGAGAATTTGTTTCCAGGTTAAGGAGATAGGATGAAGGGAATCAAGAGAAGGCGATAACCAACCTTAAAAAAACTTATGGCGAAAGGGCGAAACCTGAGGAGGGTGGTAGAAGTTTGTGGGCGGACTCTGAAATAAGGACTCGTCGGAAGATGAAGAGGGTGAAAGAGTGAGGGAGAAATGGTGGGGGAATGGGGAGCGAGGTATGCGGTATGTAGAAGTGGAGGGAGAACACGGGAAGGAGGTGACACGGGGCGCGAGGTCTGGAGAGGAAACTAGGGGAATCACAGTCTCTCACTCGGTTCCTCTGTTTTGTTGAGCCCGAAATTTCTCCCTTGTTCTGCTCGGCTCTCCCACCTCGGGATTCCACCTGCTTAACCCGTTAAAGGAAAATAAAGGAGTCGGAAGCACCCTACGACCCACTACGAATTTTGGAACTAGAATCTCACCCAGAAAAAAAACTGCGTTATAATTATCATTAAAAACCATCCCACAGCCAATGGCTATAAGCCAATATGGTTTCAAATAAACCACCAAAGGCCATTTCCCTATTGCGAAGAGACCGGTGAGGTACCCTATCCCAGACACCCCTACATTCCGGCAAGGTGTGTTAGAGTTTGTTTATTTTTGACTGGCGAACCACGCGTGGGGGGTTGTCTATGGGCAACTTATGATACCCTTTTCTGGCTAGGCGGCATTCTCAGAGCGGTATTATCTGCAACGAACCGTTCACTCACCCCCCCCCCGCCGCGGCTATTAGTAAGGGGCATGGAAATTCCCATGTTTTTGAACGAATGTACAGTACGCGCCGTATCTCGATCAGCACATCTTCCCATCTCCTCCATCCTGTGAAATTGGTATGAATAAAATACCGTATCTACTTGGTCCATTCACTATCTCCGTAGGTCACTAATCTCCGGATTTAGAGACAAAATTTCTTAAGAAGGATTACTACTTTTCTGAAACGGTATAGCTGCAGTCATTTGCTTGCAATACCAAACCTATTTGGGCTATTTTCGCAATGTACGGTACCAGGGATATTCCTGAGTGGACGGAGCTAACGAATCGAAGGAGTGAATACGGTACTGCATCACTGGTACTTCCGGTCACCACGGGCCCCTTCCGGATCGCCCGTCTTACCATCCGAAAGACCAGCGGGGGAGTCACCCGATTTCTCGCCGCGGTGGAAGCAGAAGAAGTCCACATATCCTCCATTTTTCCCCAGGATGGATCTCCGTCGTTTGAGGAAACGCTTAGGGTCGCGATTGGGTTGTAAAAAATCGCGAGGGATAGTTTCTGGAGCTCAAACTCTGTACCTATACTGATTAATGGTATTGAGGAGACTGATACATTATGTCGGGGGGTGGGCGCTGCCAAAGGTTTATCCGGTGTGTTCAACGACATTGAGGGTGAGGGGAAAGGCAAACCATGATTTACTTAACGCGTTAACGGGTCTTGCATTCTCCGTATACTCTCTCTGTAGGAAAAGAGCTGGTACCTGGGTGCAGGAAGCACGGACATGACATGTTTGCGTAGGATCCATACGTTTACTCTCTACCATTGCCGTTTCCGTTATAGCCAGCGCTCAGACGAGGTAGCCTCTCCCGTCCCCCTTCTACTCTCGCACTCTCCAGAATTCTTCGCTAATGCAAGAGAACACAGCCTCTTCACACTCTCCTACAGAACCCAAGCACCCTACAAACCAGCGATACCTTCGACACTCCCGGGAAATTATGAAGCTTACCTTGTCCACTATCTTACTTGGCTAGAAAGCACTTCCCTCCCGCTTGCGGAACGACCCCCGTCGCCAAAAGAAACACAGCCCGGAAGTTCTGAGATTCTCATCCCACTGGCAAAACATTACTCTGTCTTATATACACGCAGAAAGGGTGGAAACGGTGAGCTGATCACAGATGGGAGTTCTCTTCGGTAGCGTCAAAAAATTAGGATTATTTGGGGAAGAGGCGGTTGTCGGAGGGGGTGATTGGGGTCTGAGTGGACTTTGGGGGAGTACTGTATGCGGTAGTTAGTCTTAAATTGCCCACTCTCTCAAGTACAGGACTGTGAAGGGATGAGAGATAGTTTGGGATTACTATTGGGGGAGTAGATCCGGGTGGGGTCACCTGGAGTCAATGGCCATGGTGACAGGTGCATAATTCTAGGGTGGAATGCCCCAAATTCACGTTTACTACGAGTCCCACTGTCTCTACCGCATCGGGCAGGGAGACGGTATGAACGGATATACCCAACCTGGTGCGGTTTATAAATTTATTTTGATGGACTTTCAAATCGTGGTTCTGAAAATACAATCTCGAATCACGATCATCTAAATGGACCGGCCTCCCGGGGCCCCCTTAAGTTTAATGAGCGCAATTTGTAGATTATCTCGGCGATAAATAAGGGTAAGGATGGCGTTGGAGGTTTTTGGCATTCAGTTAAGGGACTTGCACCGACACTTGTTCATTGAACTCTTTGGTTCATGCAGGGGCGAAAGTCGGTTAGGACGCAGAGCTACGAGTATAGTACTAAGAGTACCAGAAGGGGCTAATTACCCGTGCCTCGGGGGGAGTTATTATTTCAATAGCACCTGCCATGGCGTTGTGAAGGGAGTAGTGTAGTGTGCATCTGGAGGGACAAGCATAATTCCACGGAAGATCCCATGAATTTCTGGCTTTTCGAGAATTGCACTGCCGAATACCCGGGGGAGGGGGCGTTGTTTATTGAACCTAGTGTGGTATCATAGCATGAACAAAAAATGCGAGCTTCTAGCGGGCAGGAAGCTACTAATGGGGAATGGTTCATTTCTGCGGGATACCAAGGGCTCTGCTGCGTGAATCCTTTCCAAATAACACGTAGGTGGTGACTCGGGACTGGTGTACGGCGGGTCATGTACTCGAGTACCAGTGCTAGTCTTTCATCAGTTACCTTTCTTAGAGGAATGTGAGGTATTTGCCGGTTGGCTATCCGGTTTATGGAATTCATCCCACTATCACACGACCTCTGTTTGATCACTCAGGAACAACCGATGTTAGAAATATTAAAGATAATCAGCTACACCAGGGTTGGGTGCCGTGGTGTGGATACAAAAACATAGAAAATCAGGCGCAAAGATGAGTGAAGACCGCCTGCTGACGACGCGGGCTTTGGGCAGCCTCTCCTACTCGCCATTACCCCCGGATTCGCATCCAGTCTCCATTCCCTACCTTCATATCTCGGCGCTCCTCCACCGCGCCCCAGTCTTACTCCTACCACCTCCATGCCTGCTCCTATTCGCGCTCCTGACTCCACTCTCACTACTTCCACCACCCCCACTACTACTTGATTCACAAGTCTCGACTCCCTTCCCAACTCTCGTCCCTACTCCTTATCCCACTCCTTATCCCACTCATTATCCCACTCATTATCCCACTCCCCCTCACCTTCCCCCTCATCTACCTTTCCCATGCCTACACCCCCAACTCCGTTCCCCAACTCCCTCCGCAGCTCTCTCCTAGCAAGCCTTCCGCCCAAACTCCCAAGCCCTCACTCTGCCCAACTTGACTGCGAACTCCCACCCCAGCTCCCTGCACCAGGGTGCCTTTAGCCACGCTCGACACGCCACACTGCATTGGTGGCTGCGAGGCGACCTGGGATGGGGGCTATTCGTTGACTGTGGACGTGGGGTGTTGGTAAAGATGGGCCGCGGGCTATTGGGCTATAGGGCGCGGGGTGTTATCATCCGGGGGACATGGGCTGTTGGTAGACCGGGGACGCGAGGTTTTGGTAGAGCTGGGTCTCAGGCTGCTGAGATGCATGGGGTTTGGGCTGTGGGTCGACCTGGACCGACGCCCGTCCTGTGGTCCATCCTAACCACTGCTCGGGACGACCGGCCGGGCCGTATAGGGGCCTCACTTGCAAATGGCCCTGCGGGTGACAGCCGGGCCCTATAGACGACGGCCGGAAGATACCATTTATATTAAGACTCTCGGGCCCGGGCGTCAACCCGTCGGACGGGGGTCTTTATCAAAGACCAACGCCATGCCCTCACGTCCTTACCCACCCTGCCCGGAACCCCCGGGACGGTTGGGAAAACTGGCCGTTGGTAGACAAGGGCAGCAGCCTGTTGCTCGACATGGGCCGCGGGCGCTTGGTAGACCTGGGCAGTGGGCTGTTGGAGGCCGGCGGACACGGGCCGCCGGGGGACCGGGGCTGCAGGCAGTTGGTAAATCGGGTCACCGGGCTGGCGGTAGACAGGGACTGAAGAGTGTTAGTAGACTAGGGCGACAGGCTGTCGGGGGACACGGGCGGCGTGCTATTGGTAGACTGGGGCCACTGGCTGTTGGAGGACTAGGACTGCGGGCAGTTGCGGGACTGAGGCTGTAGGATGTGCGCAGACGTCAGTCGTGTGAGGCGGGGTGCCATCTACCAGCCGCGGCTGTTTCTGTGGCCTATCCAGCTGTCTCGGCGGCGTGCCTACTGTCGTCCCGGGGAGTAGTTGCCTCGGCCGGGCCATCGGTTCGGGTATTGGTAGAGGCATGTGCCACCCCGGGTCCGGCAAGGGCGGTCCAAGCTGTGCAGGGTGGGCTACCGGAGGCCTCGCCTGACGGTGTTGCATCTTCGCTTGTCTGCCAGCTCCTCCTTCAAATCTTTAAATTCTTCCGTCAACTCCTTAAAGTTTCCCTTCTCTGGACAATCGCACAACCCGTGATCCATTCATACGGGACAACGAAAACAGTGGAGACTGCTGTTGCCAATGCACATGCGTGTTTGTTTGTGACATGTAAGTGATTTGAGATGATTAACTTCCGAGGCAGCATACCTTCCATGCTTTAGGTTGCTTTAGCTTCCTATCAACGGCCGAGCCCATCCTATCTCCTGTATCTTTTCG